TCCTCATATTAAAAATGTTTGTCTTCGTACTCATAACTGGAGCTGATGTGGTAAACATCCTCACAGGTAATGAGACAAGCAGAATTTTGTAATGCTAAGAGTTGGAGAAAATTCTATTTGAACCACAATTTGATGCAGAAAAGACTTTTTACATTGAGGCTTTTTACATTTGCTATATAAAAGGTCAGTGTTTGACATTGAATTAATCAGCAGTATCAGCTCAGTGTGCTGCGAAGCCAATATATGAAGCTAATCTTTGTATTAAATAGCCCTTCATCATACATGAATCACTCTACTCTGGCTCAAACCTGAGCTGTTCGCTTTATCGTGTCCTTGTTCATCATCAAAGAGCAGAAGAACAGCGTGTTTTTCTTTCTTCTTCTCTTTGAAACACTTTCACTCGAGAAGAGGGAAGAAAAAAAAAATCCGCCCTTGTTTTATTTGGTTCTGTTTGATTTATGACCCTGATCTGTGCCTTTTCTTCTCCTCTGGTTTCCATGGAGCCCAAATGTAATGTGAAATGTCCGTAATCACGAGGAATTGGAGATATTGAAAAATGATTAATGTGACACTCAGATGAAATCAAAGACACCACTCTGGCTCCCATAAAAAGAACAAACCGTACACTTAGTGTGTTTGTCTTGTTTTGCAGCTGTCGCCTCGACGTGACAATAACCTTTCAGTCGGTTTGTTTGATGAACTCTGACGGAGAGCTCAGGGCACATCTGTGATGTTCTCGCTGCTGATTCTCAGAGAGCACAAAAAGGACGAAAACACTTCTGAGATGATTTTCTTTAAAATCATGTTTGCGACCCTTTTATTTTTGTGTTCAACTGTATGGTGCAGCTGTGCAGTCAGTGAAGAGTGAAATTAAATGACAAACCTATATGTGCCTCTGTAGGTATGTTATTTCCATTGTGCACATCTGTGTTAATGTGGCATCATGGAAACACAGTTTGGGGAATTCACTTGTTTACTTGCTTGTAATGAGTTTGACAAGAATATGACAACATCCTTACGTTAAATACGATTAGCCTAGCTTAGCATAAACCGCTCACTTTTGTTTTATATATTAAGCAAACATTAATTCTGAGATTCTAGTGTGACAGGTTTAGTTACTGTTGGACAACAAAGGAGCGACGCTAATGAGCAGCTGTCTTTAGTATTACACAGTGCTATAATAGCGTAGGTCAGCAAAAGTCTGAGTCCACCATGATGTTTTAGAAGTTTAGAATGAACATACATATTTATTTCAAAGTCTCTTTCTTAGTCTGAGAACCCAAAAACCCATCTGTGGATTTGAAAGGCAGGTTTTTTTTTTTTAATCACCAAAATTACACCATTTATCATAACAAGAAACTTTAAAAACAGATCCGTCAGCCCATGAACTAATAACATGTAACATTCGGTTTAATCAGGAAAAACGACCACATCTTAGCTTAAAATCAGGATATTTCATCAGATTTACTTTATTTTCATTTAAAAATTCAATAGTAAATAATTTGAAGTAACCAATTTCTGTAAAAAGCAAAAAATGCAACCATCAGGGACCTTTTAACTAAACTGGGATGAATTAAACTGATGAAACTTCTCCTGACTGTAGAAGGATCAATTTATAATACTGCCAGATGCTGATCAAGTTCTTGATCAAGACTTCTTCTGGTCTCTTAAATAAGAAACTTATCCGACACTGACTGTTCTCTTGACCTTCCACTTCTTGTTTGTCCCTCCCCTCTCCAGTCCTTTTTCATTTCTTGCTAAAAGTTTGAATACCACATATTGAATTTCCAGCAATTTGCTGATTTGTATTTGAGAGTAGCCTTGCTGATGCTAAATTACGATTTTATGTCCTTTCAAATGGTGGAACCCTTTACATTTTAATGGAATGATGTGATTGAGGCTTGGTTTTATATATCAGCAAGCTTAATTAAACTCTTACAATATGTGTATTTAATGTTCAACACCAGTTGCAATGGCAAAAAGCAGCTCAAAGAATAAGAAACTTTTGACATGTCAGTGAAACCTGGAGAAGTCAGCATTAGTGGGGTAAATCTCCTACCATCTGCCCAAAGGAGTTCAAGACCAACACAAAGGGAGGTCAAATTAAATATTTTGCACTTTAAAAAACATTTTTTACAGATTTTTTTTGTGTGTTTTTTTTTTAAAAAAATACTTATGTTTCCTGTATACTTAGAAATACATATGAACTGTAGTTATAACCCCAAACCTAATATGATATGAGCATCATTTGAGTTTTTTCACACATAACTCTAAGCCTATAAGACAATTTAAGTGTCTGACAACATCTCCCAGTATTAATAGTTTGTTCTCTGCATTATGGTCCATTACTGAGCAGCTCTGTGAGACAAGTAGGCTATGCTTTGAGAGAAATGCCACCATCAGCATGCTAGCCATGCTCACATGTTAAAATGCAGGTGAAGTCCATCACATTTGCATTCTTTGGACATTTGCTAGACAACACTAAACATTATCGCTGCTGAAGTTCAGTTGTATTCATGAGCACATGGTTCCTTTGGCTATATTTGTTTTTTTTTTTTTTTGTTTTTTTGCACATCCATGTAATTGAACATGGCAAATATCCATGATCTATCTAATTAATATTATTATATTAATATTATTTAATATGATGTATTAATTGTTTATGATTTTTTATTTTTTATGTCTTTATATTAAATACACAGTGAGCTTTTAAATTGCCCCTTGGGGATGAATACAGTTATTTGAATTGAATTGAATTGAATTAATATCCATCAACTGTTACATTGACAGATAATTACATTCACTGTAGGTCTGGGAAGTGCTCAGCTTTATATGGTAATAAGATGTGGAACTGAATAATTAATTGCCCCCAACTGTGACACAAGAATCTTGGTTCCACTATGAATTTGTTAGACAGGACTTTAGAGAAACAAGTTCTACTGTATATCTTCTTACTTACAGCGTTATGCTAATTAACAAAATTATGATATCATTATTCTTAGCAGCTGCAGCTATAAACCAACATTTCACATTTTCTACCAATTCATTTGAGGATCCTAAAGATTCTTCAGTTTGGACTAAAGTGGTGGGCTGTAAGCAGCAGCGCTATTTATGTAGCAGCATTGTGATGATATCTGCATAAATGTAAATATTAGAGACGTATCCCAACATTTTCAGATTTAGAAAAAAGAATTGAGACTATTTGAAATCTGTTACAAAACTAAAGTGTAAGAGAACTTTATGTAAATGTACATTTCATCTATCTATTTCAGTTATAACGAAGTGGCAAACTGATGGATCAACAGACAAATATCAGCCTGAATAAAGGCTCATTTCTGTGTTTCCGCTCCATTTCTAAATGGAAGTGACTGTGTGGGCGGCTGTAGCAGCTGTTGTTTCCCTTCAGTAGCTGGTCAGTATCTGTTTACAGGTTCACCTCCACAGTGTCTTCCCACCGACTCTCCCTTCCCTGTGCGTTCCCACTTCATGTTAAACAAAGTGCTGCTGGGTTACTAATGAAATGTCAATTACCAGCGTCATCCATGTGTGGGAACACCCTCTGTTTAATTTGCCTGCTGTATCAAAAGAGCCAAATACAGCCGCTGTGGTCAAATCAATCGAAATGCAAACATCCACCTTCAGCCAGGTTTTAATTGTTTCCTGCGTGAGTCATCATCTCAGATCCACCTCCGTCCCACCTGCTTTTTGTCAGTTTATCTGTTTACTGAGTTTTTCTTTTGTTCCTCTGTGTTTCTCATTGGAAACATGTCGGCGGCCACCGGTGGCCTGAACTGTGAACTTGAGCTATCAGGGTTAAGACAGTGGTTCACTTCTTACTGGAGTGCATCCAAAGGCACCTGAGCAAATGCATCGCTATTATCGAAAGTTATGGCTTTGCTTATTTTTGTGTTTTGAAGAACAACCTTAGCAACTGTTACTAGCAGGGGCGAGGGAAGTAACAAAGACAACAGCCAGGAGGATACCGTTTAACTAAAGCTGATGTTCCTTTATTATAAAGTAGGTAATTTACACAAATGTAACAGAGAGGATGCTACTCCAATAAATTATAATAATATCACATGCACAGATGGTCTGGGTGCAGCCACCAATCACCAGCAGGGACTCACACACTGAAATTTGCATAGAAAACCCGAAGAAATTCAACCTACAAAATGGAGCATCATATAGTCCCACAGTGTAGTATTTGGATCCTCATATTGGTTTAGGATCGTAGTTTGTTCTTGTTGTGACAGATATGCAGCTTTAGACCTGTCCATGTTCAGTCATCAACAACCTACTGTGGTTATTAGGTTTAGTTAAACCAGACAACCAGGCTATGCTGAACTTACTTTGTCACAAAGGCTTCAAAAAGAAACAGTATTTTGCAAAAGCTGTCGCTCAGCTTTTGCCCCAATTTTTTTTATTTCTTTTGTTGTGAAAAACCAACTTGCTCAAATCTAGTTTTTAAAACAACATAAATGATGAATTTACACATAAAATACAAATCTTACACAACTTAAGTTCTATGACTTAATAGAATTATAGGAATGATGAAGAATTACAAATTAACAGAATAATAACAAATTATACTGAAATAAGGCTTCTGCACAAATTGCAGTTTTTCATTTTATTGAATTTTTTATTCATCTGTGTTATAAATTGTAGTTATTTTTCTTATTGTATTACTGTCATGACTGCTATTTTTATAGTAAACATAAACACCTTAAAGTTTAAATGTGCAAACGCGCAGTGTTCCTGTTAAGAAAATGCTTTTAAAGTCAGCAGCATTAAGCACTGCAAGCAAACTGGTGTTTGGAAAAATCTCATCATTGTCTCGTGTCTTCAGGAAACAAAGATCTTTATTTTCTCCATCTGCCTCAAATATGAAACAAGCCTGGAAAATGTCATCCATTCACTCTTGTAACTGTTTTTTCCTCCCAACAGAGCAGATGGGTGGGAGCTGAGAAGCAGAAGGACAAAGCGACAGGAAGAGCACATCCATGGGTGACGTCTCGCTTCCCGGACTGGAGATGATGGCTGAGACGTGGGAGAACGGCAGCTTGGCCAGCCCCTCGCCCGGCCTCCCTCTGTTTATGTTCATGTTCAACGACAGCGATCTGAACGAGACGCTGTTCAACTCCACCAACTCCACCGTCCCAGATGTCTCCTCAGGTCCCAGCGTGGCAGGGATCCTCATCCCACTCATATACATCATTGTTTGCATCATCGGCCTGGGCGGAAACACTCTGGTGATTCACATTGTTTTGCACTACTCCAAGATAGAGTCGGTGACAAACATCTACATCCTGAACTTAGCCATCGCCGACGAGCTCTTCATGCTCGGCCTGCCCTTCCTGGCCGTTCAGAACACCCTCCAGTCGTGGCCATTTGGCTCCTTCATGTGCCGCCTGGTCATGGCTGTCGACTCCATCAACCAGTTCACCAGCATCTTCTGCCTGACAGTGATGAGCATCGACCGCTACCTCGCCGTGGTCCACCCCATTCGGTCGTCAAAGTGGCGACGGCCTCAGGTGGCCAAAGTGGTGAACGGCACAGTGTGGGCACTGTCGTTTCTCGTTGTTCTGCCGGTGGTCATCTTTGCAAACATCCAGAAGCCAGGAGGCACCTGTAACATCGCCTGGCCTCAGCCGGCAAACATCTGGAGCGCTGCTTTCATCATTTACACCTCCACTGTTGGATTCTTCTGCCCTCTTCTCATCATCTGCCTGTGCTACCTGCTCATTGTCTTCAAGATCCGTAGCTCGGGTAAAAAAGTCCACGCCACTTCGACCAAGCGGAGGAAGTCGGAGCGGAAAGTGACGCGCATGGTTGTGATAGTTGTTGCGGTGTTTGTCTTCTGCTGGCTGCCTTTCTACGCCCTCAACATCATCAACCTGCTGGTGTCCCTCCCCGAAGAGTACCAAGGCCTTTACTACTTTGTCGTGGTGCTTGGCTACGCTAACAGCTGCGCAAACCCCATCGTCTACGGTTTCCTGTCAGACAACTTCAAGAGGGGTTTCCGGAAAGCCCTCTGCCGCTCCACAAGGAAGGTGGAGAACCACGAACCCATGGAGCACCAGCAGCAACAAGATGAGGGGAGGAGGGCGCTGATGCCCAGGGAGAGCCTGAGACGAGCCATCAGGGACGAAGAGGACGACGACGATGAAGATGTCTCAGAAATGACTGAGGTCTACAGAATTGCACAGAACGGAAATGGCAGCTTCCAGGCGAAGAGCCTACAGCCACTGTTCTCAGAGAAAGGAGCGACGCCTGGAGCGACGGAGCTGTCTTCCCCAGACAAGAGGGACAACACTGGGGACGTGAAGGGGAAAGATCTCGCCAACGGGTCCTCGCTGACTGTCCCTCTGCTGCTCAACGGAGCCAAAAATGGAAGCATTAAGACTCTGCCGGAAGACAACACAGAACAGAGCACCTCGTTGGAGATAAGTTATTTATAGTGTAAAATATGGACAGTAAGCTTGAAGTGAACTCAGTAGTACAACACTGGACAGCCTGCCTCTAATGCACTATGTTTGCAATGCAAACCCACGCCCCCCCCAAAAAAAGATCAGACCGGCCTCAAAAATGACATTTTTGATTAACAGACTCATGTCCATGAGTGTTTATAATGTGTATATACAGTATGTGTATAGACGCATGTATATATGAATGTACAAATTTGTGCCTTTATTTAATGTGATCACATTTATCTTGTTGTTGTTTATATCTTAAACCTCTATACACCATAATGTGACAATCTCTTGCTCAGGTTTGGCTGTACTTAAGCTTGAAGTCTCCATCTACACATTAGCCAAATTGTCAGATCAGCATGAAACAAGTCCGATACCAGCCGACATGAAAGAATAATTACAACTTTCCCAACTAAAACATTTCCTAACTATTCCTATATTTCTGTCAAAGACGGTAAAAGTTTTGTTTGTTGTTCTTGTCATTGACTTGTTCTGCTCTGTTAATTACAGCCTTGTGTAACATAGACTATAACACTACCTTCTGACACACCACGCAGTGGTTTTCTCATTCTGAAACAGTTAATGCAAACAAGCATATTCACATTTTCGTGGGTTTTTTAAAAATGTTTTTGTTATTTGTGACATTACAAATATTTGCTTCAAATTCAATTGAGAATTATATGGAAACACAGTGACTGACCACATAAACCCCTTGTTCATGCACATCAGTGAAATGTTTTCATTAACATAATTGACATCTCCAAATCTTGGAATCTGTGCTTTAAAACTGAGATTTACACAGAGAGAGATTTCCAAAGAGAACATCTATGCTATACTGTGCTGTGAAGTCACATGAAGAGTGAAGGAATTAACATCAAAACCAGGTCTAAGCAGGGATATTAAAGAACATGTCACAGTGTCAATGCTGGACAAGTAGAGGTGCTTGTGCTAAAATGCTAAAAAAGATTGTCTCATAAAACAACAAATTTATCAAACCATGACAAAGTTAATGTGAACAGAGGAATAATTTTGCATTAAATTTGTCATAGTTCAATATTTTGTTATTTTAAAGTCCAAATGCATGCAGTTCAAGGCACCGTGGGTACATGCCAATTTTAATATTTACATCCATGTTTCTCCCACTTGCATCACTTTCCTGCATCTTAGCTCCTTCCACTGAAGGCGTGTGCAGAAAAACATTCAACCCGTTTACAGAGAACAGGCGTCCTTTCATCTGAAGCAACGTCCGTTTCTCGTGATGACGACACCGCTCCCACGATAAGTTTAAATAACCTTCACTGCTCATACACTGAATGCATATGAATCATTTCTACTGCCAAAGACGTTTCAAACTGAATAACTACTTCTGTCAATATTTATTTTCTGTTTGTACATCTATTAATAATTTATGATTAGATTACTAGCCCTAACGTGTGTAAATATATCGCTTCCTTTCTCTCATGTAAAATAATTCTGATGACAGATGTAGTATCTGATCTACAGCATCCAGACGATAACAGATGGAAATTGTCATGTACCCTTGACGTCATGTCAAATGGTGAATGTCTTGAATTCTTTTAAGTCACGTTGTCTTCACTCTGAACCTGTTTGTTGAGTGCTTCTTATGTGAGGTCAAATGTTACATTATCATGTTGATAAACTGCAAAAGCATGTTCTGTTGACCTAAAACTAGCATAAAAATCTAACCAAAAATGATCTAGCCTCAAGAGAAGTAAGATTTAAGACTGTGGCTTTGTTTAAATCATGAATGGTCAGAAATTCAAGACAAAGATGCTTAAAGCTGCACTAGACATAAAGAGATAGCATGAAATATGTCTAAATACCTCGTGAAAATGTTGCCTCACAATTGTTTAACTTTAATAAGAAAAAAAAGATTTAAGGTCCTTTCACACCGAACATGTTCAGTACTGATTTTGTGACATTTCATTTTGATCTAAAAGGAGAAAACAGGTGCAGCACATCCCCTCGACAGGCAAATCTTCAAACTGAGCCATGGTTTGGGTTGTTTCTAGAGATGTTCTGATCCAGATCTTCAGGGAAATTTTTAACTGATTGATTTCGGCAGGAACCTTAGCCTGACACTTTGGCTATGTCTGTTTCAAGCCACAGACATCAATCCGCAAACGTGACTGTCACATGTGTCACTGAGATCAGCTTTTTTTTTTTTCCATAGTTCATCCTGGCTTATGTTAACACATGTTGGCTGGTGGTCATTAAGCATCACAGAAGACTTTGGTTGTGTCCGAAGTCATCCACTCACTCCCTACTCCCTACTCACTGTATAGGGACCACTATGTTGTGAACTATGTAGGGAGCACCTCAGTAAAGTAACATTTCGGACACTTCACGAGCTATTAATTACGTCGCTCGCTAGCCACAATTTGTGCCGTAGCAGGGTAGTGCAAACACATTAGATTCACAGTTTACGGACATAGCATTTGTCATTGGATCCCTTTACTAGCTAAACCCCCACAATGCTTTGTACCCTCCAACATGGAGCTACCCGTCTCCACCAGTTACTTCAATAATTAACAGTGAAAGTCTCCAATTAGTGGCGCAACCACATATTACAACTAATAACAACATGACAAGTGTGTATTATCTAGAAAATGGTACCAGATTGGCAGCTACTCATTATTAAATGACTCTAATCAAGGATGAAAGAATAGAAGTTTCTAATGTGACAGCTGTCTTTGAATGGTTTTGACCATTTGGTGGAAGTCATGGCAGGCTAACCATACACCTCACAGGGAAAATAAAAGCAAAAATGAGCCTTGGTAACACACAAGAAGAGGAAAATGCTAATTTCAATATGAAGTATAGTCCAATGTTGATATAGAAGTCACCTGGAAACTCTGTAAGGAAAGCGCCAGTAATTACTTGGTTTTGTTTCCAACTTCTTCTACTCTTTTTGTTCCAGCCATGTGTATCGTAGTCTATCCCGCTACCTTCTGATGACATACACAGCCTGGTTTATTGGCTCTAGAGCAGCTAAAAAAAAAGCCTAAGTATGATCATAATATTTTTGTCTTTAGCAACATTTTTGAATTTGCCGTTTTGCATTTTAAGACAACAGTCCCATTCACAAAAATACTGCCTGCACACTGACTGCTGTTTATTCACCAGTGTCACACATGAAATCAATTTACACTCACAATAAGAATTGCTGAATCCAAACCTTTTTATATGTATTTTAATTAGTCAGGTAAATTTAAAAGGATCTTAACCTTCAAATTAAAACTTGTAAGGTAATTTTGTAACATTAATCTTATTGCTCTATTGGGGAAAAAAATGAAATTTGACTCAGTGCCTGTTCTTTTAAATGCACCATATAAACAACGGTGACTTGAATCTTTTAGCAACTTTTCTCATTTTCTGTCTGTTTGCAGCAATTTTATGACTTATACTCAAATCAAATCAAGTTTATTGCCGTTTTGCTGTACGTACACAGTGGTAGAGGCAAGATGAAAGAGCGTTTCGTCAGGATCCAATAACTTAAGGCAATTTAAATGAACACGTGTTTGCATATCTAGATCAGCAGTTCAGCATTCTGACAGCTTGTGGAATGAAGCTATTGATCATTCTGGAGGTTATACTGATGAAATCTGACATGTTTCCACAAAAGCTTATGTTACCTTCTGACAGACAACACTGTGTTGCTTCACGTCTTTCTCACTAAATATATGCAGATATTGTACTAAAATTTGTGGTTGTTCTTTAAATTTAATCTATGTTGCAGCTGAAATTGTGACCTTTGTGAAGGAGCTGATTTGTCGCTGTCAAAAAGCTCTCAGTGCGATAACACACCCTCGATGACATTGGACGACAAACTAGCTCATGCTGCCTGATGTTTGCAGGTCAGGATGGATCCAGGAATACACATTGGCAACGGCAACAATGTTGTTTTAAATGTTTCGTTTATGGTCTGTGAAAACAAAACATTATTTTTTATCATAGCACAATAACGATGAAGCAGCTGGTTTTGGAAGTTTTCAGATAAATTGCCTGTTACGTCCTCTGTAACCTGTAAATTAATCATTTACTGTTTTGTTATCAGAAAGCGTTTGTATGTGGAGTACAGGTGATAAACTGTTTCAGGAATGTAAGTTATCGTGTAAAACAAACTGTAAATTACACACAGTTTAAATCACACTGTCTTTTTTTTGTGCAGATTTGTTTTTTTTTAATTTTGTGGGTTTTAGTCGTTATACAGAGTAAAACTGACAGATGAGACTAATGTTGTTGTTTTTCTTTATTATAAATAATCAGTGTATACATGTAATGACTGTTGGCAAAACCACAAAAAAATGTCATACACTGAGCCACATTAACACCACTGACAGGTTAAGTGAGTCATGCTTGTACAGCTGATGGGCTGGAAGCAGGAAAATAAGAACCTGAGAGACTTTGACAAACTGTGATGTCTGAGTCAGAGCATCTCCAAAACAGCAGGTCTTCTCGGGTTATTCCCAGCATGCAGTGGCTACTGAAGGTGGTCCTTTAAACCCTGTGCTCTGATCCCAACATACCAGCAAGCTGGGATATGAAAAATAATTGCACTTCATTGTACTTTGTCTGCTGACAGTGAAAGTGAATCTAATTCTCTAAGTATTAGAAGTGGACCATGCAGCAGTGGAAGAAGGTGATGAATCATACTTTCTTTTACATAATGTGGACAGTCTGATGTGTGTGTGTGTTTCATTTATCTGGAGAAGAGATGGCAGAGGCAGTGAGATTCTTTGGACAGTGTTCAGCTGGGAAACCTTGAGTCCTGCATTCATGTGGATATTACTTTGAGACTTTAATTAACATTGTTGTAGACCACATACATTCCTTCATGACAGCAGTATTTCTTGATTGCAGCGGCCTCTTTCAGCAGGATAACGCTCCCCGCCAAACAATAAACGTTGCTCAGGAATGGTTTGAGGAACATAGACTTCAAGGTGTGGCCTCGGCCTCCAAATTTC